CTCCAGAGAAAGCGATGGAGATTTGGGGAGATTTACAACATATTGTTTGCTTTGAAGCTTAAAAAGTTGGCTCCAGATTGTAAGCAAAAAAAAAAAAAAAAAGGAATTTTCAGCTTGGTCAGTTAGCAAAGAACTCGGCCTCCACATCTGAGGGCTGGCTGGCATTCATCCAGGACCAGAGGCATTTCGCTGGATGGCCCATTTATTATTTTTATTTTTTTTGCAAAGCTGAGGGAAGACTCGATGGAAAAAGATGGAAAAAGAAATACCTTTTAAATTGAAGCTTCATTGCCGTTCAGTGAATTGACTATAATTAAGTCCAAAGGCCTTGGTTGGTGAAGCGATTGAATTGTCCTTCTGTATTTCTGATGTGTTGCGGTTTTCCTTTGTTACAATCTCCATGTTACCCATGGAGAACTTGTCTTGACTCATTTCTGTTTCCCCAGTATTTCCTCCCTGCCTTGAGGGCCAAAGAATGATTTACACTCTGAATTTCCTAGCCAAAGAGGGCAGAGTTTCTCTAAAGTATAACACCTAGGCAAGAAATCCCTTAATTGGGTCATCGGAAGGTTAATCTTCAACATCACCAACAAAACAGCTCAGTCTGAGTTGTGTTTATGCCCTAGGCTGAAATATGGGCAGGAAGTAGCTGAAGTTGGGTGCCTTAGGTCATAACCTTGTCTTGTTTATATAATCTCCTTTTAACAACTTTGGGGTATGGCCAAGGGGTGAGTGTGCGTGTGTGTGTGTACATGAACGAGACCCAAATGGATGGAGAGCACCATTGTGGTAGCACACACTTTTTTTTTGCATCTTTGCAAATGAGAAACGTGGGGATGGAATCCAGATGTGGGTGTCATTCAATGCAAGTTACAGTTGGGGAGGTGCTTTTGGCCTTGAGTCCTTCCCTTGACGTTGAAGCTAGAGAGTTGAGGAGCTTCTTTTGACCTCAAGCCATTCTTGAAGATGAGACTCTTGGCCAACCCTACATGTTCATGGGTAAACAAAACCCATTTCAGAGGGAATTCTAATTGCCAAGGCTCCATTCAAGTGGATTTACAGGGTGTCCATCTGTCTTGCAATAAAAACAGTGGATTACAGCTGTGAGCTTTTGCCTTAGATGCAGCCCATGAGCTACAGAGAGACTCATGTAAAAAGCCCAGCCCCGGTTCTGACCTCTGGGAAGGATTTGCATGGCTGATGTAATGTAGAAGGCAGGTATGTAAAGATTGTTTGTGGAAGTTGTGAGAGAGGAAAGTACAGACAATCCTTGACTTGCAGCCATTTTGTTTAGTGATTGCTTGAAATTACAGCGGACCTAAAGAAAGTGGCTTATGAACCATTTTCCACATTTTTAACCATTGCAGCATTTTAATATATAAAATGAGAGTGAACTCCACTCCCTTGTTGCCTAGTTGGGTAATGAAATGTCTGCAAGAAAACAACCGAGCGCAGAGAATGTCAAGGAACCCACAGTCCTCCTCCTCCCCCACAAACCCCATTCCCTTCTACGGTAGCACTGATGATGTTACCGAGTTTGGCAATGAAACGTCTGCAAGAAAACAACCAAGCTCAGAGAGCACCAAAGATCCCTCATTTCATCCCTCATTCTCCTTTATGCAAATGGTCATTAAGCAAATAGATGCAAGTTGAGGACTACCTTGGCCTCTGTTGCTGGCTGTCTTCCATAAATCACGATTACACAAGCCACGTCTTTGTCGAAGGTGTAAAACCAGTTAGAGGTATGGACTACAGGCTACAACTCACAAATTAGGTGCAAAATTCATTTCGGACTGCAGCTGACTAGGGTTAGATGGGATTTTCCACTAGTTCAAGGAAAAGATGAAATCAGCGTTTGTTTTTAAGATGTTTGTCGTCTTTTTTTTTCTTTTTTTGCAAAACCAGCCAACCGTACCTTTGCTGGGAAACAGTTCTCTTGGTGATTGTTTTCGCTCCAAGATTCCTGGCAAACCTTGTGAATTTAACTGGAGGAGCCAGTTTGATGATATTCATTGTAATGATCTGGCAGGTTTTCTGATTTGTTTTTTTTTTTTCTAATGATGTGATTAAATGTTATTTAAGTCAGTCGTGGGGTTTCCAACATAGCCTCCCCACAGAATTCATTCGCTGAATAATTGGGTCTTGTATTGGAATGTTCACTCTGCAGAATCTGTGTGGTGACTTTTGCAAAGCTTCGATTTTTTTAAAGAGAGGTTTTGCATTTCACTAGTTGACTAAAAAGGAGAAGAGAACGGAATTTTCTTCCAAATTAGAACTTCTCTCCCAGAACTGAATTTCTCTTCTAAATATCTGAAGATGGCCAAAATTTCTCTTCTCGGTCTTCTGTCCTCCAGACTGAAACCCAAGGTCCTTCAAAAATCTTGTCCTCAGATCTCCATACCCATCTCTGACACACGCCTCTGAATCCATGGAGATTCTCCATCATCCAGGTCTTGGTTGTCCCCTTTGGGACTCCTCTGAATCTGTTCTATCCTGTCCATCATCTTCTGGGACCCCCACAATAGCATCCAGAGAAGCCCAGGTGAGTCTTCCCGATGTTGGGTCTAAAGGACTAACCATGGTCATGTTCCTCTTCTGTGTCCTTTATCTCCAGAGTTCATCGCAACGATATGGAAAACATCTTCCCGTTTCTGTTCATTGGGGCCGTCTATAGCTTCCTGCATCCCAATCCACTGGTGGCTTGGATCCACTTTCTGATATTCTTCCTTGGCCGGATGGTTCACACCGTGGCGTATCTCCTGAAGCTGAGACCTCCCATCCGGTCCGTGGCCTACAGTGTGGCTCAGATTCCATGTTTCTCCATGGCCTTGCAGATCCTCCTTTCGGTGACCAGACGTTAGCGGCCATCGGTGGCCTTTGTCTCCAGCGGGCCCTTGCGTGATGTGAAATGGAGGATGTGAAGAGATAGCAAGAATCCAAAGGGAGGGAATCAATGCTTCACCCTAGGGCTGAGCTAACCAGTTCTGGCTTCTCTCTCAGCAGAACAAGACTATAATGGATGGATTTCTTATCTCCCGATCTCTTGCTTGTAAGGGGCGGATGATACTTTTGCAAGGGCCAGGTTGGGCTTGGGAGAACTTGAAGATGTGGGCAATTCAGAAGCATCACAACTTGGGTGTGTGTGTGTGTGTGTGTGTGTAAAGAGTTTTTCCTGCATCAATTGAAGGATGAAATAGTTTCTCATTTAAAGGGCCACCTAACCTCAGCTGAAATCTCTCGGGATGCCCATTCCAGTTACGAGATGTTCAGAGTCCAGCACGGACATGACTGTTAATCTTCACACCGTTTTTAATTGAACAAATAAAAACAAAATTAAAGCTTTCTTAAATAAGCTTTGCAGTTGGTGGAGACTTTCTTTCAACTTTGTACGAAACTCCTGGTTTCAGATTAATTTTTTTCTTAACCCTCTCAAACTTTCATCATGCTATGTCTGGAGGCTCTTCAGATTGGAATTGTTCATTTCCCAGAATTCCTCAGTTGGGGCAGAGACTGCTGAGAATTCTGGGAGTTGTAGGAGATCCTTCAGATGCATAGATTTCAAAATACAGATTATCAGATTCTCATTAAACGTTAAGGGGAAAAAAAATGTCTAAGTGGAAAAACAGTTAGATGGTGGAACCAACGGCCCACAAGGGTAACTTCAAGGTTGGGTGAATTCAGGCTGGGGCAGGACAGCTATTTCTCAGAAAGTCTTGAATTCTTTCCCTGAGTTGCAGGTCGTGGTGAAAATCCTCTTCCAACTCCGTGAACAAGTGTTTACAATGTGTGTAGGTACTGCTACTTGTTGTAGCTGTTTTACCACGCTTCTGTACCTCACCAAGGTCACAAGTGGCATCGTCACCCTGCCAAAACATCTAAAAAAAACCTAAGCACAGTTAGAAGTTGAATGGGAGACCACTCAGAGATCTCTAGCTATTGCCACTCAGCGATGGAATCTTTCGTTGATTCATCAGCCTCCTGGCTGCTCATCCATCTGCGCCAAGCACTTCATGGGAAAAACGGGGTTGTGGATTTCCCAAGAGAATGTGCAGAGTTCAAAGCAAATCTAAAGTGAAAGAGAGCAGGAAGTGAAAGTCCCAGAAACCAAATTAACCATGCTTCTAATTTATTTTTTTGAGTAAAGTTTCTTACCTGTATGTCAATGAAGATTCTGAGTCATCCAGGTAAAGTTCCCGAGAACTTTGAGCCTTCTTTAAAAAAATAAAAATAAAAGTCCACTTGCCATGACACAACTTCCAGATTTCTCACCTTTAATTGCCCCTCCCTGAATAAAGTGAATGAGCTGGAAGGGACCTTGGAGATCTTCTAGTCCAGCAGGAGAGCCTATAGTATTTCAGATAAGTGGCTGTCTAGACTCTTCTTAAAAACATCCAGTGACGGAGCACCCACGGTTTCTGGAGGCAAGTCTTCCCACTGGTTAATGTGGAAGGATCTTCACGAGAGGAAAATCCCTAAAATAAACGCACACTTGGAAAGGATTCAGTACCATTTTTGCTGGCTGCAAAAATGATTCTGAAATGTTCATTTTATGCATGTGATGCTACAGCACTGCCCTCTAGCGTCTCTTTCTATCTATAGCTGACTATGGTAGAGTTAATTTTATTTTATTTTTACTGGCAATGCCAAGTCACATTTTAGTTTTAGATCATTCCCAGAAACCGGTCTTGGATTCTAGAAATGGACTGGTAGAAATTATCCTGTACGATCACAAGAAGAGCCTGGCTAGAAAACCAGGAGATGGTGAGTTCTAGTCCTGCCTTAGCGGTGATTTTGAACCAGTCCCTTTCTCTCTCTCTTCCTCCCTCTCAATCCAGCCCACCTCACAGGGTTGTTGTTGTTGGGTGGAAAAATAGGAGGAGAAGGCATGTTGGATATGTTCACTGCCGTGAGTTATTTGTAAAAATAATAAAAAAAGGCAGATGCAAATAAATTAAAAATAAAAACACCCCAATGCACTATATAAGACTGGGTTTTCAGATTTTTATTTTTGTAGGGACTGGGTGGGCAAAAGAAACAATTGCTCCATTTGTTCCAAGGGTTGAGTTTTCCACTACAAGTTCTATTCTGAAAGGAATTTCCAGAGCAAAACTTGTTTGAAACAGGGTCATCAGGGGCCATATACTCCTTTGATTGGGGTGGGCGGTATTGAGGGAAATTGGACTCTATTCCTTTCATGGGGAGATTCTGGGAGATCGAAATAACCTATGGCCAAAATTGGGACTGGAGCTTCAAGCCCTCAAGTGACGGGCCCGTTCAATGAGTCATTCCCAATCTTATGACCTACCTCGCCATGGTTGTTAAGTGAATCATGCAGTTGTTAAATCAATCTGCCTTCCCCGTTGCTTGTCTGAATCTGTCTGGAAAGGTCATACATGGAGACCGCCTGTTCCTGGGATGCTGAGACGGTCAAAAACCACACGCCAAGTGTCCGAATTTTGATCCCATGATCATGCGGACACCACAACTGTGTGAAAAGTCACAAGTCACCTTTTTTTCAGCCCCGTCATCAAACGGGTGGCCATACATTGAGGACTATCTTATGGGAATTCCAGGGAATGGAAACGGATGAACCAGCCTACTGGAATGCGACGTGTTTCTCACAAAGACAAAAACGGAATGACAACCACCCCAAATTTGGGGCAACATGTAATCCCAGCAAAATCCTCCTTCATATGTAACTTCCACCCACCCCCTCCCAGCTGAGCCAAGCCGGAGAGAAGTAAAACAGAGCAAGGGTTATGGGAAGGCAAAGCTGATATTGCAAGGGGAATGATTTAATTGCAGCCCCCAGCCCCATTTTTTTTCTACATCGCCCCCCCCACCCCTCCTCAGCGGCCCACCTTTCACCACTAAAATTCAGTGTCTTTTTTTTCCCTCTTTTTTTCAACCTCTGTTGCAAATCCACCCTCTGATTTAAGCAGCGTCCACAAATGTTTGTTTTGCAACCTGGCTTAAGTTGCAAAAACGGCCGTTCTAAAGGACTCACAGCCGTGCAATCAAACTCTTTGCTGGTTTTGTCCAAGGACTGCGGGCGATCAGCAGCTGTCCCACTTTCAAACCAGTCCCTGAATTCATTCGGGGAACACGGTGAATCAGAACAAGCACCGTTATCGTTTGAAAGCCAAGCAGGGCCACGAATTTCCTAGACACGCGTGCATTCTGCAGAGATGCACAAACTAACATGTACAGGAGAGATGCCAATTTGGAATAAAAACTGCTCCATGCCAAATCCAAGTGGCCCCAAAGTCACCATATCCAGGCAAGGAAGGGCAAGGAGATCATCGGGGTTGAAAAGACCATGCAGTGACCAGATTATATTTGGGTTCTTGAAGCCTGTGTTCTTGAAGAGTTAGATCTTTAGGCTTTCAACTCAACCTGAAAGCTCTCTGAGGTCCATGTCTTCATTTCTGGATGGCCGCATCTTCTGGATCATTTGCTCTTCCTTGAAGAAGTCATGGTCCACCAGCATGGTCCACCAGCAAGATCCTGAAGAGGCTGCCTCCTCCCCAAGGGAGCTTCAAGAAGTTTCTCAAGTTGGTGGAAGCTCTCTCCTTTGGTCTTCAAGAGAAGGAGACATTAGGGGGCAGAGGAAGAGTTTTGAGCCCTGATGGACCATGAATATCTCCAATGTCTTGATTGGTGGAGATCGCCAGGGATGCTGTGGACAACCAAGGAAGGACGGTCACGTCAGTTCACGGTAGGTACCTGGTTCTGGTGGAGGCTGAACTCTTTGGCTTTAAGGCGCAAGCTGGCAATACTGTTGGCCATGTTGACCCCCGGCGTGGGGGTGTTGGGGGCACTGGAACCGTATGAAGGCATCGTGTTGCTGGAAGAGGCAGAGGAGATGGGAAGAAGGAGACAGGAACAAAGGAGAAGCAACAGAAAAGAAGCATTAAACATTGGAGAAGAATCGACTCTACTAATGTTAGGATAAGATATATAGTTAGTCCTCAGCCTAAAAGCCTTTGGTTAGCGACTGTTCAAAGTTACAATGGCACTGAAAAAAAGTGGCATTTTCACACTAATGACCATTGCTGCATCCCCCAAGGTCACGTGATCAAAATCCAGACGCTTGGCATGGATTTATGACAGTTACAGTGTCCTGGGGTCATTTTGATCCCATTTTGAGGTTGTCTGACAAGCAAAGACCTTCAAGATCCTTTCCAACTCTGTTATTTTGTTAAACAACAGAATAACAGTGTTGGAAGGGGACATTGGAGGTCTTCTAGTCCAACCCCCTGCTTAGGCAGGAAGCCCTACACCACTTCAGACAAATGGTTTACCCAATCTCTTCTTAAAAGCCTCCGGTGTTGGTGCATTCACAACTTCTAGAGGCCAGTTGTTCCACTGGTTATTTGTTCTCACACTCAGGAAATTCCTCCTTAGTTCTAGGTTGCTTTTCTCCTTGATGAGTTTCCACCCATTGCTTCTTGTCCTGCCTTCTGAAGGTGCTTTGGAGAATAGCTTGACTCCCTCTTCTTTGGGGCAGCCCCTCAAATATTGGAAGGTACTATCAGTATTATGTCTCCCCTAGTCCTTCTCTTCATTAGGTTAGACATGCCCAGTTCCTGCAACCGTTCTTTGCATGTTTTACCCTCCAGTCCCTAAGGGTGTTATGAACAGAGACATTTAAAAAATGCAGATTAAAAAATATATACCTAAAAGTTATGTACGAGCAGTGGCCACTATGTTAAAAATTGAAATTCTAGACCTAGAAAACCTAGAACTTCGCCGTCTTTGGTCCGATCTAAGTATAGTATATAAAACCATACATTGCAATGTCCTACCTGTCAATGAATACTTCAGCTTCAACCATAACAACACAAAAGCACAGAATAGATACAAACTCAAGGTTAACCGCACCAAACTTGATTGCAGGAAATACAACTTCAGCAACAGAGCGGTCAATGTCTGGAATACTCTACCTGACTATGTGGTTTCTTCCCCAAACCCCAAAAACTTTAACCTTAGACTGTCTACTATTGACCTCACCCCTTTCCTAAGAGGTCTGTCAGGGGGCGTGCATAAGCGCACCAACGTGCCTACCGTCCCTCTCCTATCGTTTCTTTTTTATTTTTCTTATATCTATCCATGTATTCATAACTATGTTTTTACTTATGCCTATTATCTTGTAAGCAATTGACAAACCAAATAAAATAAAATAAAAATGAACAAAATAAAAAAAAGAGAGCTTGCATTGCAAAAATGTACACTGAAAACTTTTGCGTGGAGCAAATTAACCTTTCAAAGGATGACCATCGGGGCCAGGGATCCCTTCAAAGGGCTCTAGAAAAAAAAAACAACCCAGGGTGAGGCTGCCCTAAACAATAGGATTGTTAACAAAGGCATAAAAAGCACAGATTTCTAGCCCTTGCATTCTGGTGGCGTGCAACAGATTGCGCTCTCTGGAGGCAGAGAAGGCATTGCTTTTCTTTTACAGCTGAGAAGTCCAGTCTAATTTTAGCTCAGAGTTTTTCCCCCCCTTTTCCTCCTCTGCCCCAGAAGAAATGTGTTCCTTGGCCCGCAGAGCAATACAGCCTCTATTTCCCTTCCCTTCCTCGGTTTGGTTAGCACTTCGAGTTGAAAGGTAACATAACATTGCGATTAGAGCTAACCTGGAGCAGGAATCGCCTCAGGGGGGAACCTCAGAAGTAGGGATGGGGAGAGGGAGAGAGGGAGGAAGGAAAGGAGCTTGAACCAACCTGTAGGGGGAGGTGCTTGACCACGATAGATAGTCGGTGCTGAGCGTGGTGGGCCGGGGAGCGACGGGCTGTTCGATGGCTGTGTCTTGAGTGTAGGATTTGAGGAGCGATACTGACCGGTTGGCCAACATTGCTCTCTCGTTCCGGCGAAATTTTGCTCTTCGGTTCTGAAACCAGACCTGGAAGGGAAGAAAGACGCAGGTAAGCAATAAAGGAGAATATTTGTAGCTCAGGGTTGAACTGTGGGGTCCTGGGTACTCTCTGAGCCTGGTGTTTTTCCTGCAGACGTCTCATGACCCAACTAGGGAACGTCATCAATTCTAGAGGGGAGTGTGGGGTTTCTCCCTATTTATATACAGTAGGTCTGAGCTGGGTTGTTTTCTTGCAGATGTTTCATGACCCAACTAGGTAACTTCACCAGTGCTAGAAGGAAGTAGGGTTTGTGGAGAGGGGGAGGAGGACGATAAAAATCAGATGTGACTCACTTAACAACTGGTCCCAGTTGTGGTCATGAGGGCTACCTGTAGATGAATCCAATCGCTCTCACCTGGACTCTGGCTTCACTAAGGCTCACCCTTCGGGCCAGCTCCTCTCGGACGAAAGCATCTGGATAGTGCGTCCTTTCGAAGACTCGCTCCAGAGCTTGAAGTTGGCTGCTGTTGAATGTGGTTCGGTTCCTCCGTTGTTTCTTCTTCCGTTTAGAGGAGGAGTGGGTCGGACTCAAGCTCTGCCCTGTGATCAGAAGAGAGAGAGGGGCCAGAGAGGTTATGTAGCAGAGCTGGAAGGGGGAATTAAACGGGTCATGAGACCGGAATCGTTACATAGATGCAAAGAGACATCAAGTCCAGCCTTTCCCTCCATGAATTCCACTGAACCTTTTCTCTAGCCTCAATTTAGTTTCATTGACTACAAGCAGTCTTTAACTTACAAACATATGACCATATGAAGTTACCACGGCATCCTTATGGTCACGTGATCAAAATTAGGTTCATATTTATGACAGTTGGAGTGTCACTTGATGAACAAAGGCCATAGAAAAGCCAGATTTACTTCACAACTGTGTGACTAAAACAACTGTGGTTAAGAAAGGTTGTAAAATGTGGACCAACTCTTAACAACTGTCTTGCTTAGCAGTGGATCTTTGGAGCTTGTTTGTGGCCGTAAGTCAAGGACTTACCTGAGTTTTAATTATTTTTCTACTTGCTGTATAACTTGTAAACTACCTGGAGTCACCTTGTAGGAGAGATGGACAGCATAAAAACAACAACAAATAAATAAAAGAAGAAGCACCACCTTTCTCCCCATCATGCAGAAAAAGCGAGAAAGCAAGCAATTATTTTACTTTTCTTCATTTTGTGCATGAACGGTGATTTTAGAAGAATTGGTTTATCTCATGAAGATTTTTTAATTTTAACCGAGATGGTTTGTCCTTGAAAAATGCAGAAAGGTAGGTCTGTCTAGTAAGGACAAAGGTTTAGCAGTGTTCTAATATTGGAAGGGCTGCCACAAAGAAGAGGAGGTCAACTTATTTTCCAAAGCACCAGAAGGCAAGACAAAAAGAAATGGATGGAAACTAATCAAGGAGAGGAACAACCAAGAACTAAGGAGGAATTTCCTGACAGTGAAGTCAATTAATCAGTAGAACAACTTTTTCTCCAGAACTTGTGGCTGCTCCATCACTGGAGGCTTTCAAGAAGAGACCGGACAGCCATTTGTCCGAAATAGCATAGGGTCTCCTGCATAAGCAGGGGGTTCAACTAGATGATCTCTGAAGTCTATTTTTCTATGTTCTAACCAGCAAAGCATCCCACAATCCTGCCAAAACAGATCTCAACATTCAGACTCATTTCCATCTTATTTCAAATCCCTTCTGGGCCTCCTTTCTCTGCTTCGTATATTTTTAAATGTCTCCTGACAACACCCCATTCTAGGATCCCAGCAAATCCCACGAAATTTAGATTTTTTTTGGGGGGGGGGGACACTCCGCACCAGAGAAGGCCATCCCGCTGCGCCTTCATTTAAATTCTCCTCTGAAACACGAGCTGGCCACTTTGCCCCAACATCTGGTTCCCATTTGGTCTCTAACGGAGGGTGGGAGGAAAAAAAAACCCCTTTATTTTGGGATGGTTTTAAAATTTGGAATACTTTTATGACAGCTGTCTGATTTGTACCAGTTACCCTGAATTCCTCTGCTATATATCAAGCTTGAACAGTTATGATGTGGCAAAAGAAGAAAAAAAGAAGAAGATGGGAAAAAGAAGAAAGAAAAGAAAAATCTTGCCCGCTTTGAAGAATTCCTTCATAAAAGGACCTTTGAGAATTTTGTCCGGAAACGGCACCGGAGCGTTGGAAAAGGATACCGCTCAAAAAAAAATCTCACTTTAAAATAATCTTTGCTTTCAGTTGTTTTCTTTCTTGCAGATGGATATGAAAATATGTTTCCCTCCTGCCAACATTTGGAAGTGTTTATAGGTGGTCCTCAACTTACAACCATTTAGTGACTGCTTGAAGTTATGACATCGCTGAAAAATGGGATTTACGATCGGTTGTCGTAATGATACTGGCTCTTAATGACTGGCGCAATATTCCCAGGGCCACCTGATCCAAATTCAGGTGTTTTGGGGGTTTTTTTTGTAAATTTTATTTGAGTTTTCACAAAGAGAAAAAAAAATACAAATAAAACATATTTTCTGAAAGCAGCATAATCCCGGGTTACATTTCTTCGTACAGACACAAATTCAGGTTCATGCTCATTTTTATATTCTATTCCATATCTTATTACTATTTTACATTTTCTGCATAGCTTCTCCCCTCTTTTGATTTTCTCAATTTTACTTTAATTATCTCATCTCAATCCAAATCATTGTATTTATATTTTTTGTCTGTCCTTTTTCAATTATCTGTTATCTTTTCTCATTAAACAAAATTTCTCCTGTAGTTACTGATTGGAGTATGACGCCTTTATACCTTTTCCCTAAAGTTGTAACATTCAATATAATACATAACTTCCATTCGGATTCTGCTTGGTACATTCTTAAAATACACAGTGTATTCTTAAAAAAAGAAAAAATTATAAATGTATATAATTAAAACAACATTCCATTCCAAGTCAATTCTATCATTAATATTAATATTCATTAAAGTCTTAACATCTTTAACATTACTTTTCAATTAAATATCATACTTCTAGGGGAACAATTATAAGCTTTCCATAGTTAATTCCCCCCCTTCACTTATATTTTATAAAACATTAACTAATTAAAATGTTCCCGTTCCTTCCTAATTCAATTTTCTCATTTATTTTATTTCACTTATTTTATTCACAAACATTCCACTAAATTACACTAACTATTTTATTCTCATTTTAATCATACGTTGTTTACAATTTTCTAAAGTTATTTCTATTACTAATATAACAATACACGATCGCGGATTTCTGTCTGTCGCCGAAGCCCTTCAAACCGGAAGTCGGCCCTACCCCATTTCTGATAGTCTCTTAGTTGTCAGTATAGGGAAGGAGAGAGAAGGGGAAAAAAAGGCAAATCTTTCCCTTTTCCCTTTCCTTCACTGCTTCCGACTCTTCTTTGGGAGCGATGTTATTTTTTGTAAGTTTAAATTCCAGGGTACCTTGGTTGTTGCTTTTACAATTTAACCTGGTCAGCTAAAACTTTCACTTCTTATCTTCCTCCTGCACATTCTTTTCCGGTCGAGTTCTTCTTTGTGGTGGCCACTTCTGACCACCGCTGCAACCGCCTTCGGGAAAGGGAGTAATGGCCAGCTGAGGAGAGATGCGGCTCTCCTCGACCTTGCTGGCGGTCTCCCCACTCTTCACCACTTCTACAGGGTGGCTTAGCCCCGAAACCAGCCGGCTCAGGGTGCTCCAGTGGCGAGCCCAGACAGAAACCGTGCACAATCGCGGATTTCTGTCTGTCGCCGAAGTCCTTCAAACCGGAAGTCCCAAATTCAGGTGTTTTGACCATCAGGCAGTCCTCACCGTACGGCCATAATGGAACCCAAAATTTATGTTGCCAAGTGAGAATGTCATGCCCCTGGTGGAGACTGACTCTGAGGGAGAGGAGGAACAGCTGACAGGGAGTGGAAGTGTGGCTCCAGAGGTTGTGGAGAGGCTGGCTGGGCAGTCAGAGGAGGACCCAGGCGCATCCCCTCTCCATCCTAGGGCACGCAGGGAGGAGAGGATAAGAGAGAGACGTGGTCTCCTCGGGAAGAGAGGGCCTTGATCTTCTTCATGGGCTGCAGCTGTAACAACTGGATAAGAGTTTGGACCTGCGTACTGGCAAACGTTGGAAACAAAGCGTGTAAATATCTCTAGTTTATAGTTCCTCTTTGAGTTTGGCGTCCTTCCCAGTGTGTGTTATTTATGGACATCCTCCAGCCCTTTTCTTGCCTGGTTTGTGTTGTTGTTGTTTTTCTTTGTGTAACTGTATAGAAGTTTTTTTTGTCTTCCATCAAAGATATTCGGAGCTTGGAAGCAAAGTGAAGAAATAAAACAGGCTTCACCTGTTTTCTGTGACTGTGTTTGTTTTATATCCTATCCTGGGTCTTCACAGAGAAATTTGTTTCGAACTATCTTAACTATTCTGTGACTAACTGGACAATCGCAATGATTTGCTTAACAACTTGGGCAAGAGAGTTTGTAAGGTGGGGCAAAACTCACTTAATAACTGTCTTGCTTAGCAGCAGAACATTTGGGCTCAATGGCTGTAAGTCAAGGACTAACTGTACTTTCAACCACTCAATTCAGGTTTGAGCCTATTCAGATGGAAGGAAAGGAAGGAAGGGAGGGAGGAATAACCTCCGTTATTTATTTATGTTATGTTATTGGAAGGGACCTTTTCAAAAAAAATAAAAGTCTTTTGCAAAAACTAAAAAATATCAAAGCCCTACGATTCAAAACTTCAGATCTTTTTAGAGTTACAAAACAATAAAAGAGAGAAATAATTTTGAAACTTCCAGAAGCCACTTTGAATTCCTAAAAGTTTATGGAAAAAGAACTTCTGCACTCTTAAACAGCACGATTGCCATTGAAAACACAGATGTACATATTCAAATTTCATAATTCTAAAAATTAATTGGACTTAAGCCCAGGCTTGTGAATTATAAGGATGTCAAATTCAATTTACCAAGGAAGTAATTTTGAATTTCGGCAGTATCCCTGATTCAAAGTTAATTTTCTCTCCTTTCCATTTCCCCCTCCTTTTGTCTCATCTATTCTCCCCTCCTTTTTCCCCTTTTCCCTCCCCACCCCCCTGTTTTTAAATATGCAGTTTAATTGAGTGGGCTGAAATAGCCTGAAGGCTATTAGTCATAAATTCTTCCGAAGAAAAATATATCCTGTCTTCTTTCTAACTTTCCTTCTTCTTTCAACAAGTCCAAGACGGATACTACTTTTCTATTGAAATAATAATTATAGCCAAGACAGCCTGGGGCGATGCAGCGACTCCTAAATCAAATAAATAGATTTTATTAATTAACACAGGTCATTCCTGGGTACCCATTTGTTCTCCGGTCTCGGAATTTAGAAAAACAAACAAGGCAGAGGTCGGGTTCTTAATGTGGATTTAACATGCTCGCAGCCTTGGTCAGAGGGACGCATCAGGGGTGATTTGAGTGAGGGGAAAATACACACACAGTTTTGCTTTCTATGTGCTATTACAACTTTCCTGTTTGTGTGTAACCTTTAACTGGGTGAAACAGTGCCTTGTAGGGCAACA